CGTGTGACCTGCTATGGCAGTTTTTCACACAACAGCATTTCCCAGGCATCGCGAAAACTAAATCAACGGAGCTCGACAGCAACAAAAATCAACCATAGACTGTAAACAAACAACGGTATCCTGCTGAGATGGCGGCATAGCAACGTGATACTTCCGGTTTCCTTTTCCGCCTGTCCTACGAAGGCCGTCTCATTTAATTCTAGGTTGAGGACACTTCGTATATGCATCCTACAGAGGATGCGACCTCCGGAGGGTGCAGCCTTCTAAATGAGACACAGCTACGGAATCATACAACATTCTCCTTCTAGTAAGGTGCGGTTGACAAGCCAGCTTTGGTATTATAACGCCACCAACTGGACTGGAGTGTCAAAAAACAAAACACTCAGAGGAAAATAATAAATAAATAAAATCATAAAAATAAATATAATAAAAAACAAAAATAATATATTTTAATTACTTATGCAACATGTGATTTTTTAAATTCTATTTTCCAATACTGTTTTTTGGAGATAACTATGCATTACACTTTTGTAATTTTACCTGTCCTAAATCACAATTTAATAGATTTGGTAGATTGAAATTTAACTCTTCTCTATCCCTGGTAAATACACAATGGGGTAATAATGGTACACAAAAATGATGGTTCGGTAGGGCCTACATACTTCGGTTTTGAAGTCACAGTTTGGTATATTTGGATTGTTTATTAAACAAATCGTGGCTCTTGTCTTGAAATAAATTCAATTATAATTACAATTTTCTTAAAGTGGTCATATGATGCGATTTAAATTTTTCCTTTCTCTTTGGAGTGTTACAAGCTCTTGGTGCATAAAGAAGATCTGTAAAGTTGCAAAGACTAAAGTTTCAAATCCAAAGAGATATTCTTTATAAAAGTTAAGAGTTAACCACGCCTACCTAAAACGGCTCGTTCTAACACGCCCCCACATACCTACGTCACTATGTGGGAAGATTTGCATAACACTGCCCAAATGTTCATGCAAAGAAAGAAGGCGTAACTTTTATTCTCACTGTAGTATTGTTGCCGCCGCCGCCATGTCTTGAAGGCGCTGTGTGCTTCGTTGTGAAAGCGAAACTACTTTGTTTGGCCTTCCAAAAGAGGACTATATCGCTTCGTCATGTCTGGAGCTGATCCATGCTGGTCGCTGAGGAAATACTTAAACTTCGCGCTGTTGATCACCGGATCGGCTTTCACCGTGGACAAAGCGGAGTCCAGCCCGGGGTCGTCACATGTGGTTGCCGCAGGTATCACACAATGGTAACGGATGTAACATTTCCGTCACACACTTGAGGTATGCGGCCAATCACAACGCACTGGATAGCTGGCCAATCACTGCACACCTTGCTTTTTCAGACTGATTAGCTTTGTAAAAATCGATGTGTTTTAGAAAGGCGGGGCATAGAGGAGAAACAATAATGTACAGTATGTGGAAAATAATGTGTTTTTTGAACCTTAAACCGCATAAACACATTTCATTACACCAAATACACAAAATAATGTTCTTTTTAGCAGCATCATATGACCCCTTTAAATATTTAGCGGGAAAGAGAGATCTGATCGGAACGGTACTGAGCTCAACCGTTCTGAAAAGCGAGGTGTACGCTGATTGGCCAGCTATCCGGTGCGTTGTGATTGGCTGAATACCTCAAGCATGTGACGGAAATGTTACGCCGCTTAACACACTTTGATGCCATCTCCTGGCATGGCGAGACAAAACTATTAAAACCCATTACAGAAGTGCCAGACTGTCCTTGCAAAGTTGGAACTGCCCCACTTTATAGAGCCTTTGAGCACAGACCCATTGTTTGCTACTCTGCAGATTCCGGAAACAGTCTTCCATAAAATGCGTCACACAGCGTCGCTTGAGTGAGGAACGGCAGGCGGACTTGAGAACGGCACGGCCGGCAGCAACCACATGTGATGACCCCGGGCTGGCCTCCGCTTCCTCCACGGTGAAAGCCGATCCGGCGATTCACAGCGCGAAGTTGATGTATTTCCTCAGCATCCAGCATGGATCAGCTCTTTTGGAAGGCCAGACAAAGTAGTTTCGCTTTCACAACGAAACACACAGCATCTCCACAACATGGCGCCGGTGGCAACAACAATACTACAGTGAGAATAAAAGGTACCCTTCTTTCTTTGCGTGAACATTTGGGCGGTGTTATGCAAATCTTCCCACACAGTGACGTAGACATGTGGGGGCGTGTTTAAACGAGCCATTTTAGGAGGGCGTGGACAAGTCTTAACTTTTATAAAGAATATCTCTTTGGATTTGAGACTTTAGTCTTTGCAACTTTACAGATCTTCTTTATGCACCAAGAGCTTGTAACACTCCAAAGAGAAAGGAAAAATTGAAATCGCATCATATGACCCTTTTAAATAAGTCTTCTGACAGTTCGGGAGAGAGGGGTTTTGCACGACGTTCCACCTGCGAATGCAGACACGATGGCTGGATTGTGTTTACATTACATGGAGATCCGATCACAATGTGTTGTGTGGCTGCGTTTACACTTGGCATTAACATGCAACCTGTATCCGGATGTTGTCCACATGACCAGTCATTCTTGAGAAGTGTCATGGAAAACAGGGTGCAAAATTTAAAAAATAAAACCTTGTACTCAGACAAATTAAACTACATTTATGTATCTTATATGTACTAAGCTACTGAGCTATACTTTGATACACCCTCCCAACTTTTCTCTTTTTTTAACAAAATGTGCTTTTTTACCTTGGACTGTGTAATATAATTTCAACTTTATCTTTAACAGCATTCAAGATGTTTTTAACATTTCAAAACATTCTCGTGTTAGCAGACAGATTACACTTTCACATGTGACCAACAATTCCACAACAAATATAAAATATCATAATGAAATATCAAAATATTCAACTGATGGAGTTGACAGAACTTGACACATCTGACGGTGGTGACAAAAACCTGAATTTGTAATAATTTTAACTATCAAATACATTGAATCAGTCAATTACTGTATTAAAACAAACACAACAAACTGAGTATGTTATTGTTTATAAAGCTTTTATTCAAGAGTCACATTTAAGTATTTTGATATATCATTGGAACACAAAATCTTATGGTGGTAGCATCTGACGGTGTTGACAAATTTGGCATTTCTTTCACAAAACCAATGGAGTTCATGTAGTAGCCATTTAAAAAAATTTCTGTTGATGCTAGATGCTAATGGAACCTGCTTCAGGAGAATAAAATTATCTAAATATTTCAAATAATTTCCTCAGAAATTGGAAGATGGTGTTGACATATCATGGCTGTGACAAAGGAAATATTAACATTAGGATTTAAAATATTCTAAAACTAAAACTTAGCAGAGCCTGTCTGACACTGATGCACTCTGCAGAGGTGAACTGTGGCAAGGGGGTCCTTTAGAGTGACAGCTGCCCCTGATATTCCCTGATTTTATTAAATTTTATTGAATGTCTGACGGTGTTGACAAAAAGTGGGGACGCAACTTTAAAATCTTATGAGACATACATGTGTCATTAAAAAAACAACCTTGCTTTGATAGGAGATATTATTAAGTGTTGCTTTTGATAAAACAAGATCTTTTTCATCATTAAAAAACATTTTTATCCATTCTGATGATTGAATATGAACGATTGAACCCTTCTCTGTGGACACACTGTTTTAGATGTAGTGAGAGGACATTAAGAAACACAGATTTGGTATAATAATGAGAAAATTAAATTAAAGGTGATAATTGTGTTAAATACATTCTATTATTAATCCCTCATGTAGTATATGCGGCTGCATATAGGTTATTAAAGTCACTTAGTCTGGAGTATTGATGATAGTTACATCAGTGTCCCACTAGAGGACAGTGTTATGCTGAGGTGGAGAAGTTGTTACTTCCGGGCTGCATGTGTTCTGGTTGCGGTATTAAAAGACGATTAACAGTCACAGTGCTCTCCTCATGTTTTATGAATAGAACCCACATTGAGAGAACATGATAAGGTGTCAGAAGTGCGGGCTGTCGTCAACATTATAGTCAAGACATCGGCAAGAAGGGCGAAAATATATAAAGTTGAGGCACGGCTTAGGGCAAAAGTGGCGTGCACATAAAAAAAAATGGAGCACTTCAAGCCACCCTCAGCGATGACTGGCAACGTGAGTGAAAACTGGCGCAAATGGGAGCAGAGGTTCGTGTTGTACATGACGGATAAAAAGAGTGCGACAGTTCAAGTGGCAGTTCCACTCATTAGGTGAGGAGGCACTAGAGATTTAGAACACTTGACATAGCAAAAGAAGCACCAGAAGAAGTGACTATAGACAAAATTCTGGAAGCATTCAGAAACGACAGCACACCTAAAAAGAATGTGGTGTTTGAGAGACATCAGTTCTGGACATGCATTATGCATGAGCCAATGCAGATTGATAAGTTTGTTACAGAACTCAGACAAAAAAGCAAAAATTGTGAATTTGGAGCGTCAGAGAACGACATAAGAGACAAAATTGTCTTTAGTGTGACAGAAAAACTGCTGAGAGAACCAAATCTGACTCTACAAAAGGCCATAGACATATGCAGAGCATCAGAGATTGCCATGGAAAGAATAAACGTAATGACATCAGCGAAAAAAAAAAGTGAAGTGCATGCATTAGACATGATCAAAGGAGCAAAATACAAAAATAAGACCTTTAAAGCCACACTGTTACACAACAAAAAAGAGAAAGTCATCGGCACATCAAAGGCATGTACCAGATGTGGACAGACACACCCACCAAGATCGTGTCCAGCATATGGGACTAAATGCAGAGCATGAGGCAAAACCAACCATTTTGCAAAAATG